AAAAAAAAAATCTCCCAATAAAGGGCCAAACGTCGATGCTATTAGAGCATTTATTGTATTATATCTTGCATCATTTACATCTATTTTTGCAGTTGATGTTGATTTGATAGGAATTATTACTTATTATTGTCATCATACCAACTGAGAATTTATTGCAATGATTTTAAATTCAGTTGAGGTATCTGACATATTATGACATAACATTGATGTTTTATATGAAGTCTTTAGAGCCATAGACTATAATATGTTGTTTTTATAAATATATGTTGTTATTGATAAATTGCTCAGACCAACCAGGACAGACAGAGGTTATATGTACAAATCATCCAAGCACCCAATTCCTAGCCATTTCTAATATAGGCTACATTTCATTAACATTGCTAAATATTATTAAACTGGAAAGAAATTAAAGATCCATCTTTGATTGTCAAAAGAATTCCGGGTTCACTTCCCTCCCAGCCAATTAGATTTCACGCATTTTCATCGGTCAGTCGTGGAGGTCTGATTGGTTAAAGCTTTATTTATATAGCACCTTTTAAAACAGTGTTTACAAAGTATCTTACAGAGAGATGCATATGTGCATTCACAGAAAAGAACAAAATACAAACATAAAAGAGATAAAGTGGGCCTAGTAAAACAAAGTACAATAACCAGTTTATATTATATTACGCGCATTATATTTATGTGCTTTCGCGTGACAATAATGCGCTCTCGACATTTGTCATTAAAATAACGCCATACTAATGATTCATTTGGGAATCGTTCTTTAGCCGGTTCGTGTCCGTCAGTTTATGTTAATGAATCATTCAAACCACTTATGATTAATTTATGAGTCGTTTTTTAGTCAGTTTGCATTGATGAATCGTTGGAACTACTTCACAAATCATTCTGAATGATTCATGTGCAAATCATTCTTTTTAGTCAGTTTCTATTAATGAATTGTTCAAACCACATATGATTCACTTGTGAGTTTTTCTTTGTAGTGAGTTTGTGCTAACAAATTGTTCAATCGCTTCACAGATCATTCTGTATGATTCATTTGCGAATCATTCGTCTTTTGTAGCAACGAATCTTTCAAACAAACAAACAAAAACTACATTGACTACAATGATTTTTGAGCAGCAGCAGATGAAATGCACTCCGTTTGCTGCGCTGTTCAGTTGTTCAGTCGTCCGTCTGTGCGTCTGATGTTCAGGAGTGAAGTTAAATGGCTTCTGCTGTGAATTGTGAAGCTGATGCTGTTCCTGGAGGCTAGCATGTGAATGTCGATCAGATTCATCTCCATTACAGCGAATCATTATTACAGAGACATTACTGTCAGATCATCAGAGACTCTCAGGACACTTTCCGCCCTTACTTCACCCCAAAATCACCAGAAAAAATAAGCTATCATTATTTATCAGTTCAATTAAACTGAAGCCTATTTTGAAGAAAAAAAAAAAATCCATAAATAAAATACATTATTTAAATAAATTAAATTGCATAAATCTCATACCTTTGCCTTTGGCTTTTGGCACATTACAGCCGAAATGATTATTAGGCACCATTACAATGAAGTCATTTGGGTGAATCTCATGAAACATGGCCTGAAGATATGCTCAGTCCATATTTCACCCAGAATTAATAAGAAAAAATCAATCATATTTTGTGCAAAGAAAATTAAGCCTATTTTTAGGACCACACAATATATATATTTTTTTCATAGTGACATTTAGTTCCATGACAATTAAATATTTTCTTGTTATATTCTCATTACTTTAATGCATAACTAAATATAAATTAATAAATTAAATTAATAAAATAGAATGTATACATGAATGAATAATGTTAAATAAAAAATACAGTAGAATTTATAGTAGAATTTGTAGAATATCACTGTGAAATTTTCAGGTCATATCAATCATACGAAAAATATAAACAATCATATTTTGTGCAAATAAAATGAAGCCTGTTTTTATGACCATTAATGATTATGATTAGGACCGTTAGAATTATTGAATTAATAAACAATATTATATATTTATAAATAAATATTGTTATATTTAAATATATTTATATTACAAATTAAGTTTTATTAGAATTTGTTTAAATAAATAAATAATAAATAAAGAAATGTTATGTTAGATGTGAATAGATTTATATATAATTATAAATTACATTTTTAGCAGAAATTGTTGTACTGGACAAAAATATGACTGTAGAAATGTTAGATCATATTTCACTGCAAAATCATTTTTAAAAAATCTTATTTTGTGCAAAGGACAATAAAGCCTGTTTTATATCACCATTAGGAATTATGATTAGGAACATTATAATTATTGAATTAATTAATAATATAAAATGCATAAATATTATGTTATATATTAATATATTTCTATATCATTACAAATGCAGTTTTCGTTAGAATTTG